AAGATGTTTATGAGCTGTTGGCAGGTGTACCTGGAGATTTAGACGCGGTTGCTAGGAATTGTCCTCATATTTGGTTTTCTTTTCTTTTTTTTTTTTCCTCCTTATGACGATCATGATGAATGATACTCCAATTTAGCTTTGTGTCCTCCATTTTCCTTGTCAAGTATTTGCTTTCTTTCCGTTGATCAAAGAAGCATGAGACGGTGTTAGTATTGTTTTGCTCGGTCCTCTCGTCTTCTTTTCGTTGTTTATTATTTCATTGAAATTGGCTACACTTTTTTTTTGGTTTGGAAGGACTGGTAGACAGACTGGTTGTAGAAATGAAGCTATTCGGGGGTGCACCGTGATCCTTCTCTCTTTTCTCTTCTTCTGAATGACAAGAATGGCTGTACTGTACTTACAGTAGCTACTTACCTTGACCTTGCAGGTGGCTTTACGAAGGCTCTGCAATAACCGTCCATCTTCGATGTCCATGTAAATGTACTCCGTACTGTTCCATACTATAAGGTTAAGTACACACAGTACACAGTACCTAGTGATTACCATGGATGATCGGCCCATCGCGCCAGCCAGCCATCCTCCGCGACGGGGATGATTGGCGCGAGAACAGCAGCGAATGAACGACGGCCACGCCGTCGCGGGCGCCGTGCACCGAGCTTACATTTTACCTTGGCCTGAATCCTACGGCGCGAAACGCCTTTCCCGGCCAGTCAGTCCCTTCGGCTCCGTGCCTGAAGTTCCTGTTCGGGTTTCCAGCTTGCGGCGTGGGCCTAGGGCTGGGAGGGTGGAGGGTGGAGGTGGAGGGGGGATGGACGGTAGAGTACCTAGAGTAGATGTGACCCGATATGCAAGACGATGGGCATGGGCAGAGGGTGCAGTTGGCTATGTAGGGGGAAGCGGTGTATGCACTGTCCGGTACCATCATGGTGGTACTTCCGTGGATTGTGGGGGGACAGGGGGGGGGAGTTCGTCACGGGAGCTGATAACATTTGTCGTTGTTCATTCCTGACACGATGAGTGACTGACTCTTTAGGCAGATCGCTCGACTCGGCTGGCTGGCTGCCTGATCGGAATGAGAGATGTTCAGTCTACTCCACTTTAACTTTGGGGAATTCTTGGAGGCGCGCTGTGGGGATGGGGTTGAGATCCACGGTAATGGGGAGTGGATGGTTTGTGTTCTAGTTTGGATTGTACGGAGGATATAAGTTATGTGTATGTTATGTTCACGTGTAGGCACAGTTTGTGTGGAAAGCCTTACAGATAGGTAAGTTAGGTAGGACTCGCTTATCGTTGAGTTGAAGAGGAGCAGGGGGGGGGGAATGTGGCGAAGGGGGAATTGGGGAAAGGCGCTGGGTTGATGCTATGCGCAGGAAGTGCGATTGAAGTCTGTATTAATCATTAGAGGCGGAAATTGAAGACGGTTGTGGTGGTGGTAGTGTACTGTCTTTGTACAACCTCAAACAATTCATCGTATAACCATGTTGGTCTGGGCTTTGTGCGAGGGGTTCTTCGGATGGAGAGCATCAGAAAACAAATCCAACGCCGAAGAAACGGTCAGCACAACCGGAGTCCTGAAAGAGACAGGTCATGGCCACGGCTACAGCCACATCTGATGTGTGTGATTGGATGTATACTGGATGTGTACTGTACCTACTACGGAGGAGGCGACATGAAACCAGTCACATCATTGGCGGTTGGCACAGGATGAGGCCTGGCCCGCGTGGGCCAATGAGAATTCCCCGGGCTCTCTGTCTCAGTCGACAATTGAAACAACTTAACGATCAAGATGGAATGGATGGATGAAGACTCTGTACTCGGAAATGACTTGGCTGTCGCATCGGAATTCAGTGGTGGGCTGATGTACCCGGGAGGTACCTTTGCTGCCCAAGTGATCCATCCCGGATTGGCAGATGACGCCGCAACCGAAGTATCTTTAGATCCTGCATCCAATTGGTCTCATGCACGTCAACCTGCAGTTTGACCTGGCCATGATGACTGTGAGCATGTTCGGTTCCCTTTCCATCAAGTGATCGTCTTTGCACTGCAGCAAAGAAGTAGTAGCACTAGCAGCACTAGCAGCACTAGCAGCACTAGCAGCAAGCAAGCAAGCAAGCAAGCTGCTTCTTCCTTTCTTTTTTCCCCCTCCTCCTCTATTCTTCCTTCTTCGCATCAACCTCCACTCGCTCTTGCCATTCTTTTCATCTGGACCCTTGCAACTCTGTCCTTTTCTTCATCTTCTATTAGCCCACTCAGGTGCTGATAGGTAGTGCAATATGCGGATGCGCTGGTAAGAAGCAGGAGTGACTTGCTGTCTGCCGGCATTACCGATCTAGATCGCTCTCAGGCACTGTTCTCGTGCAACCGTGACACTGCTTCATCTCGAACCGTTATCGGTCCATCGTGAGACCTTCGGTCTCGCTTCGATCCGCGGTGCTTGTTGATTCTCCGCTCATTTCCGAAAGACAGTAATGGTTGCTGTTGCGATTGCTGTTGCTGTCTTGTCTTGTCATTGTCTCAATTGCCCTGACTGGTGATGTCAACCGATTGAGAAGATCGGCAGTTCCCCAATGCTAGCACTTAACAGGTTGGACTTCACATCTTCTTTTCCTCTCATGTCCCGGGGCATTGTGCTTTTTTTTTCATTCGTCTTCTATACTTGCCCTCGCTTGATCCCGGCCTAGATCAAGGCACGAGCCCTCGATCTACCATGGCGATGGCTCTCGACGTCGGCTCTCCCTACCATGGATCTCCGCACCACCACCCCGATGCTATACACTATATATCGACATCACCAGCCTCTGACCCATTGCAATTACTCGCCTCCAACCCTGTCATATACCCAGCAGGAAAGGCGGGAAATCTGTCGCTACACAATTACCGCAAACTCCTGTCGGACAGCGATCCTTTCATCGATGGCCAGGACGGAAAACTGCTCAGACGGAAAGACGCCGCTCTGCATTTGAACCAGACCCAGTTCGATTCCGTTCCACTAAGCACTCCCTTCTCCATGTCGTCGCCAGCTTCAAGTCCGCCGCCGTTATCGCCGTCCTACTCCCCGAGCACCCGGAGCGACCAAGACCCGGACATTATGCACGGTTTTGGCCGTAAGTAGACAGCACCCCACTATTGCTCAGATGGTAGCGTGGCAGACTGGCTAACAAGTTGTCCAGTGTCGCCAAATGTTACTATGCCTGCGCCGTTGAGCGCGCCGTTGAGCGCGACCTTTCCCCGAGAGAATCCGCACAGGCTTCTGGTAAGTAAGGTCCTGACACAGCCTTGCATTCCCAACTGACGTAGGTATGTGATCAGGATACATTCCGGGACAGACTCGAGAGCTACCCCGAGCCAGGCACAGATCCGGAATGTTTCACCCGCAGGCACACTAGGACCCGCTCCGACTCCATCCTATGGAGCATGAAAAAAACAACCGCGACCATTGTTGACCACGGCACGTCATTCGAGATCATCAACCCGCACGAGTCGCTGAACTTTGCCCGGATCGTGTCCTTCATCGAAGATGTCGATGCCTATTCTCTTCGGGCATCCAGCGGCCATCATCGCGAGTCGTACATCGAGGTGATCAATGAAACGGACGTGGACCCCAGTCCCGAAAGCCAACCTGGGGATGAACACCCAGTCCCATGCTCGGAGGAGGATTCCCAGCAAGTTCACCACGAATTAGTGGGGGACTCGCCGCACCTTCCCATGCCGTCGATATCGGAGCGTCTGGAACGGGAGGACGGCGATGACCTGGCCTCGAATTACTCGCGCTCGCCCGGTTGCACGCGTAAGCGACCGGCGCCGCTCAGACCGCGGGCCTGGACTGACGAGAGTGACCTTGGGGAGCCGGGCTCCCCGATTCGGGACGATGGCGCTTTTCGGTCTCACGTACAAGTCCCGCTGCCCACCCCTTCCCCTTACTCCCTAAGCGACAGCCTTCCGACCTCCTTACCCGGTCCAGCGGCCTACTACGATCTGAACCTTTGGTACGGACCCCATGGGGTCGACCAGAGCCAGGGTCATCCTCACCCACTCTATTCCCATCCAACCTCTCCACATCATCTCTGCCCGTCTCCATTCATCTCCCATATGGCCCTGCCTCAGCAGCAGCAGCAGGAGATCCGCATTCAAAGCGGGATAACCAAAATCACCGACCGCCGTAAGAAGAACGTCAAACCGGGGAGCAGTGGGCCTCTGAAGCCCTTGAAGCGACTATATAACCTGCTCCAGCGAAAGCGGCAGTGATTTTCCTTCCCATTCTTATCGCATTCGGCCCTCCCAGTTTTTGTGCCTAGCGTTGTTTCCTATTTGGCATTTTATACTCCCCGTCGTGTATGCGCGAGCGCATCCCGTTATGGTTTCCTCTAAGCAAGGCTTGTCTGTTTGTGTTCTATATCACTTTGAGCGAATTGGCCGTTGCCTACCCCTGCCTATCCGTTTAGATTAGGGCCTTTGACAGGACCCAGCATTGTTTTCTCATTGACCAGAGCATAGATCAAATAGAGGTCGTGTTTGTCAGCACGGTGTGTACGTCTACAAATGGTTCACGTGCTACAAATAAGCTACTACTTTGGAAAGGCGGCGAAGACGATCCAGTGATGTTTAATGAATGATGTTGTGTAAAGATGTGTAATTAAAAGAGATATAGAAGCAGTGCCCTGAGACCGAATTTTGAGAGTCGCACCGCCGACAATATCCACATTCGCCATGAGAGATAGCACCAAGGGGGAAAAAGGAAAAAACAAAAAAAAAAAAAAAAAAAAAAAAAAAAAAAAAAAAAAAAAAAAAAAAACAAAAACAAAAACAAGAACAAAAACAAAGAGACAGTCTGGGTATCTTTCTTCGATATGCACACAATGCACAAGCAATTCCAAACCCTGAAAGAAGATAATGGCAATAACAAAAGATGAAGAAGATGAAGAGCGTTACACCCGGATATAGTACAAGAAAAGGCAATTCAGAAAATAGAATTGAAGGAATTGGAAGAGCTGAGGGGCGAAGCAGGTGTCAAAGCGATAAAAGATATGCACCTCGCTCAAGGACACTGGACATAGATAGCCGAAGACATAGGATAGAGAATGTTTCTCAGGAAGGCCGGACGGTGAGACGAGCACGATCTTATTCGACCATCGAAGCCAGCGCCGCACTGACGAGACTCTTTCGGCGCAAGCCCTGCTCGCTCTTCTTCTGCAGGTCCCGGGTGGAGCCGAGCTGGTAGCTCTTCTCGATCCGATGGGAGGACTGCAGCGCGCTGACACTGCTCTTTCTCCGGGACCGCGTGTAGTCCGCCAGCGACGCGGAGGACGAGGCGGCAGACGTCGGGGAGATCGATTCCGTGGCCGGGCGGAACCGGCTGCCCCGCGACGCCGTCAGGGCGCGTCGGCGCGGGGACGACTGCGGCGGGAGCGAGCTGGGATGCCAGTCGTCTTCACAGGTGGAGTAGCTGTGCGAGACGGCGGTGCGCAGGGCCTCGTCCTCGGAGATCAGGGCCAGGCGGATGGCCTCGAGGTCGGTGGGGTTGCAGTACTGCAGACGCGAGATGTGTTGGCGCTGCGCGCGCATGGCCGTGTAGTTCTGTTCTTGATCGTCCGCGTTGAGATCCATTGGGGTCGTCGTGTCGGTCGGGTGGTTGGAGCTGTCGGCGGGGGCGGGGGCGGAGGTCGGGTTCAGGTATGGCGAGGAGGATGACGGAGGGAACGTCGGCGAGAGGGAGCCGGACGTGTGGGAATCATCGTCGAGATCCGTGTCCGGGGGTGTCAGGACGTAGCCGGGGAAAAGTTTGGGGTTGTTGTTGCCGCTACTACCGAAATGGAGGTCGGAGGGGGAGGTGGGGGAGATGGGCGCATCGGGGAAGCGGTCGTCGCTGGGGAATGCCCCCGCAGTGCCGAACGGGTTTTGGAGAGTGTGCTCGTGGAGTTTCTTGGTGAGGGTGCTGATCGAGAAGCGCTTCTCGTATGCGGAGAAAGGGACGGAGGTGGGCGCTTGAGCCTGGCCCCGGGAGTAGGAGGATCGCGAGCGAGATAGGGTCCGGGGGAAGCGCTGCGCGGACGAGCGTGGGGAAGGACAGCGCGAGGACAAGGGGGAGATTAATCCACTGTCATTGTCGAGAGTGAGGCGCTGGTATTCATCGCTGTCCAAGGCCAAGCGGGGAGGCCGGGTGGAGGAGGGAGAGGAGAAAGAGAAGTCCTCGAACATGATGGCGATACCGCTGTGCGGGAAACGAGTGGAGGAGGATAATCAAAAGTGGCACCGTTCTAATGGCTTGAATAGAGATAATCTTTTGGGACCACCTGGGGAAGATGGAGTCCGAGACTGATAGGGTTTAGAAATGGTGGTGGTGGTGGAGGAGGCTCAAGTTATCGAGACATGAGGAGGGAGATGGATATACAAATGAACAGATAAGGGGGGGAAAGAAGGCTCAACGGGACGGAAGAATGAGATCGCGCGCGCGTATGTGCCTGGACCCGAGATTATAAGACTAGAGCAAAAGAAAAAAAAGTCTGGTCCCACAGTGGCCAATTTTCTTTTTCGATTCTGATTCTGGAAGAGAGGGGCGGATTGTATTTCCTTATTTCCTTATTTTGTCGCGTAAAAGAAAAAAGTAATGGCCAATCTAAGAGGGACGGACGGATCCAGCGCGTAAACGTAAAGGGAGGGCCGAACCTTGGATGGCGTGGGGTGGAAAAACCGACAAGACACACTACAGAGTGGGCCAGATGAAAACAGGAATCTTGAAGATGAGTGAAAATGAGAAAGGAGACAGGATAGGGGAGACTGGAACAGTCGAGGCCCTGGGCCTTTTCAGCCTGGAGGCATATCAAAGGGCTTTATAATGAAATTGCACACCCCCTTTTTGATGATTCTTCATTAATGAATTGAATAAGTCGGGGAAAAGATGGAAGATGAAACAGACGAAGGGAAGGAATCTTTCCCATTTGACCGCCCTGACCGCCTGCTGCATTCGCCATTTTGCCCCGGATCGGCTTCCGGCGGCGATTTTGGCCTTGCCTCTGAAGAATTGAAGAACTCTCCTTTCTTCCTTTCTTTCTTTCTTTCTTTCTTTCTTTCTTTCTTCGGTCTTGGCCATTATCCCCTGTCAATACTATTATCGATGAAACACGAACTCATATTCGTTGCCTCCATATCCCCGTCATCCCAATGGCGACTCCGAACTGAGGGTTGTATACACCCTTGCTCACAGATCTCAATCGGAACTTCACGAGATTAGGAGCAAATCCGATCGACCAACCCACCCCAACCAGAAACAGCATAATCACAATCGCCACTGGGTGTGTAATCTCGAACACGGCAGCAATTCCGCCGGTCCCAGTCAATGGCCTTCGATCAACCACGCCTGTCTACTCCGTACTTCTAGTGTTCTTGGACCCTTGTCGCCACCCGCCTTAGCTGGATTGGGTGGAAGAGGCGTCTCGGTTCCCCCATCCAAGGCTCCAAGGCTGCAAGCTAAATTACGCTCTTCGTTCCGGACTGAACCTAGTCGGAGATATCCGTCCCTTTGGGTCTAGCGTCTGTCAATCCATAATCCCATCCCAGACAAGGGGGCGGCCGCTTAGGCTCGACCTCTGGGAACTTTTGGGACCCGGAGAATCTCTCTTCAGCTTCTCCGGTTGGACTCTGGCCCCCGAGGATGAATGAAGATCTGTGACTCGTGAGAAGCTTCCGGGCTGGGCTGTCTTAGTCTCGAAACCTTCATTCCCCTGACATTTTCGATCTGTCGTAAAACGGTTCCGTGACGAGTTATGCATACGGCTGGGCTTGACTACGCTCCTAGGATCCTACGGGGGTTTGACGTCGGAGTATTATTGCCGACAATGAGCCTTCCCTCACTTATCCTTGGTGCATTCTGAGTCTTGTTGTTTGGGATCCATCACTCGCTTCTAAAGACTCGACTCCTTCTTGGTGAGTTGTCTCCACGCACTGTGGGGGGAGGGGAGGGGCGCCGGCGGAGCTGTCTGGCCGAGGTCGGCTTGTCGGAACGAGTCCTCCGTAGTCCGTACTACTCATAGTCTAGTGACGGGCTTTGATATCTAAAGCGTAAAGAAGCAAGTTTATTCGAGTGGGACTTGCTGTTGCCTTGTTTGACGCGTTCCGGGGACGGTTGACTCGCCCTGCCTGCTGGATGCTGCTCGAAATAGCAATCCCAATGTCTCTGATGAGTCCTGTACATGCGCCAAAAAACAGTGGTCAGGCTTCGGGTAGGAAAGGGAGGGTCGTTCTAACCGCCTTAGGGCCGTTGCGAAAAAGATCAGTACTGAGTCTAGCTGCGCGAACGATGAGAAACAAAGGTCGGGCGTCGGAGCCCGCTGTGGGTCCATATAGCACGCGTACGCGCGAGTCGCAACCGTAGCCCTCGGATGATGACATACATGGCTACTCGTACTTCATCGTGTAGTCTAGTACTACTGTACTGTACACGGGTCGCTCTCGTAGCGTCTGTGCATCAGAAGGCACTGGAGTTACGATGATTCCCAAGGAAACGAATTTGTCACCGTATGTCCTTGTCTGAAGGTGTAGAGCTGAATACCACGGAGTAGGGTTGGTATTGCATGAAGGATTAGAGATGAAAGCAATGGTAATCGATTTGCAATCTAATATGCCTCTTAACAAACTTCAATGTAGACTCTAGACTAAAATGCGTCGCAAGAAATTCTAGCCCCCAATTGACGTCCCGTCAAATTGCCCCAGACCGACCAAGGAGAGACCTCAGTGCCGCAGATGATCGATGATTGTAGACACCTTGCCGAGTAAGGAGTAGCTGACAGACGGCTTGATGACATTGTCGTCGTCGGTGCCAGAGCTGTCTGTACCGTCCCTCTTCGCCTTGGTCATAGCGTGAATTGTGTTCAAGGCGTCACCGGCTGGGTTGACTCTCCCGACTGGGTGCTCATTTGGTGTGAACTGAGCATTGACCGATGCAATATCAACTGCGTGATCAGTCTGGAACGCGGCTGTAAGCGAGAGATACTGCGGTGACAATCATCTAGCGTAGACCTACCTGGTTGGCGTCACGCTGCAGTGCAACTGGACTGGCTTCCACGAGAGAGATAGACCAGAAAGCATTCAGGAGCAGCAGAAGGCCCAATAGAGAGGCGTTGGAGCGAAGGGATGGCATGGTGATGCTTGGTCAAACTCAAAAAAGAGAGGTGGCAAGATTTGGAGGTCTTGAGTGACAAGGATTCGTTGTCTTGGTAAAGGATGAGGGCACGATCTGCGTTCGACTGAATGGATTCGAATTGTTTGGCTTCATGAGTGGCAAAGGAGTCCATCATCCGCCTTCTTATAAGCATCATCGCTGTCCGGAAACTGTAGATGGTTCGACTCGCGTTGTATCTCAGTCCTTCCTGAAGCGTTGACGATTACTCCTTTGAGGCTGGTGCAGCAGAGCAATGCCCATACTCCTAAAATAACACCACGCTCGCTAAAGTTTCTTCAGGGCCGATCTGCCGGATGTGTGTTGACAGCCTGAAAATCGGTAAGGATGCGCATCGCTGAATAATGGTGGATGTGTATGCTCAAGTATGCCCTGGCCGCATGCATGTCACATTCCTGCGGAAATACAAATGCCGAGTGTATAGCCTCACATGAGTCAAACTTTGTGCCGATGGCAGAGATAGGGCATAACTCTATTCATGGAGGACAAAGAAGCATATTGCGTCATGGGATTGATAGTGCATTCCTGACGAATCTTGCTGATAAGTTGCTCTCACGCTTTCAGAATGATGGCCTCGCGCTCATCAGCGAAAGAGCGTCTTGAAGAATGTGGCTAGTACTGATCTGGTTGGGCATTGTAGCACAAAGAGCATATGACGTCTGTAACTGAGTGGGAGTCACACTGTTGGATTAGCAAGACAGTATACTCATCTGATTATACTCCAGCCTCCTTATTTTAGCACATCAGCCATAGTCTGCGATCTTGTTAGCACAAGAGCCTGGCTCTGGGCGGTGTCTGAACCCAGCTACACTCACGACCAATTTCTTTCTTTGTTGCATCATCGCCTACTTGCGGACCCAATGGGCCAGCTGCGACATCTGAGTCTCAAGCACAGCATGCAACACAAGGTAGACTGTACACATCTGTTGGAGTGTCTCGTTGCGGGTGTGTCTTGTAGTTGGCGGGGAGCAGTTGATAAGCGATTTGGAGTAGAAGAGCTCCGTCGATAGCGTAATGCGGCACGTCGGCAGATGCTCGGCGCGAAAGTCGGTTCCCCCGCAATCGCCTCAATCTCCCTTCCATCATTATCACCACCACCACCACCACCACCAACAACAACCATCCTCTTCTGCTCGCGGTCCCATACATAATCACCATGGCATCCCTCCTCAAGAAACCATTGAAGCTTGCCCTCGTACAGCTGGCCTCGGGTAAGTGATACTCACTCTCAATATCCACAATCTACTCTCCTAACCCCTCCACAACAACCAGGCGCCGATAAGGCCGCGAACCTCGCCCACGCTCGCAGCAAGGTCCTGGAGGCCGCCAAAGCGGGCGCCTCTCTCATCGTCCTTCCGGAATGCTTCAACTCTCCCTACGGCACGCAGTTCTTCCCCAAGTACGCCGAGACCCTCCTTCCATCGCCGCCCACCAAAGAACAATCCCCGTCCTACCATGCCCTCTCCGCCATCGCCGCCGAGGCCAAAGCCTACCTCGTCGGGGGCAGCATCCCGGAGCTGGAGCCCACCACCAACAAATACTACAACACCTCCCTGGTCTTCTCCCCCTCCGGAGCCCTCATCGGCACCCACCGCAAGACCCACCTCTTCGACATCGACATCCCCGGCAAGATCACCTTCAAGGAGAGCGAGGTCCTCAGCCCCGGCCACCAGCTGACCGTGGTCGACCTCCCGGACTACGGCAAGATCGGGCTCGCCATCTGCTACGACATCCGCTTCCCGGAGGCCGCCATGATCGCGGCCCGGAAGGGCGCCTTCCTGCTCGTGTACCCCGGCGCGTTCAACACGACCACCGGCCCGCTGCACTGGTCGCTGCTGGCCCGGGGCCGTGCCGTCGACAACCAGGTGTACACGGCCCTGTGCAGCCCGGCCAGGGATCTGGAGGCTTCGTACCATGCCTGGGGCCACAGTCTGATCGTGGACCCCAGCGCAAAGGTGCTGGCCGAGACGGAGGAGAAGGAGGATATCATCTATGCGGATCTGGATGACGAGACCATCCAGAGCACGCGAAAGGGCATCCCCATCTACACCCAGCGGCGGTTCGACCTGTATCCGGATGTGAGTGCCGGGAGTCAGTAGAGTAGAAACTACCCCCATATTGAATGTTCTGGCGATAGCGGCTCTTGATTCTTTTACACAGGCAAAATAGACGAGTGATGAATTCTCAAGCTGGGGTTGCTATGTTTATTTCCTTTGCGGGGAATGTTCAATGAGGGCGTATTCACAAGATGGGCTGCATACAGTAAGTGCCAATGTTGTAGATCCTTCAATGGAGTCGAGCCAGGTGAATCCACCATTGTTCGGTTCATGGCCTTTGGTCATTCTAAAATCTATCCCTCTCCCCCGCGTCAACCATCTTTAGAATAACCATCTCAGAACTCGGTAAGGCGGTCCCAGCCTAGGTTCCCTGATAACGTATACGATGCTCGAGGCCGTCCCAGAACAAGTTCCCGGACATCTTATACTATGCTTGATTTCTATACATCAAGCCCCTCGCTAGTTCTATCTGCATATATGCATCAACGGCAAGTCACATAACTTGTATTCAGTACCATAGGCCCTCAGAAGCCGAGACCTACTGCTTGAATTCCTGGATTCATTCCAGCGGGGGCTCAGATAGCCCAACTTGCTATCTGACGTCGTCGACGGAACAGTCATTGGAGAAACCATACTGTTTTCTGTATGGGACATTTAAAGACGGGAACCCGCCAACTGCCAATGGATTCTTCGTTATCAGCAATATTCTTTATATCTTCACATGGCTACGATGAGAGCCAAGCCCATCGAAGTTGCCCACATTTATTGGAAGGGTACTGAGGCTCGGACAGCACTGGCCGGTCTTGCCACGTAACGTCGCTGTTCTCGGTCATGTCGACTCAGTACAGGCGAGTCTCGATTCGATGCATGATGTTGTATCCTCGGAACACATCTTCTCTGATCTGCAGAATACATTCGCCAAGGGTCGGGGTCAGGTCAGCTTCCTAGATCACAGTCGAGATCACCGATCCAGAGCTGGTCTCTCTGCAGGCCTCGAAGGCCATCAATGCCAAACCGAAACAGCTGCGCGATGGTCCACATCATAAATCAAACTGCGTGAAAGAGCACCCCACCCCATTGTGAAAACTACTACCGTATTTTACCTGGGAATCTAGAGAATGAGACGAAACCAATTTCACAGCGTCGGTGTGGCTCGGGCGCACTCGAAAAAGCGCCGAAATTCACATTCGAATTTCGTCCGCAATGAAGGGGGTGGAGAAAGACCAAACTCCAACGAGAGACGGGACAGACTGTCGAAGATCACACAAAGAAGCAGTAGCTGAAGGACATACGTTCTCGCTCGACACGAGCGAGTTCAGTTCCTGAAGAGCAAGGCCGCGGCGCTCCCAGCCGGGGCACACCGTCCCCGCAATGATAGCGAAGGAGGAGAAACCGTCCGGGTTTGCAAAAACATTACACATCGGACCGGTCATTGCGGAGGATGCAGCAGTCAACCACGAAGCTAACATCGAGCTTGGCGTTGGATATCATACTCCGTATCCCATGCCCGACTGGGATTTCCAATACACCGATTGGGCGTCAATGACGATGTGCGAGGCTATAAACCGACAGCGAGAATCATGACGTATCGACCACGTCTAGAAACTCGTCCTCGTCAATCTTCCCATCATCAGACCCAAGCTCCCGGCTCCAGATAGTTGAACACCATCTCCACCCAGTCCGATCCAACAGAGTCACGACCCATCCTACATCCTACCGCGAAAGCAAGCTCCTTCAACAACGCGGACAGCTCGACCAGGGAGCGGAAGCCTGCGTCCTGTGTCAGGAGCGCAAGGGGACATCTTGCCGAATGCGTGGCGATGCCGAATCGCTCCTCCGATCGCATCCCTGCAAATTGTATTTACTCTGGCACCAAGGAAAATCGCTCGTTTGATCCTAAGTATCAGGGGCTAGTCAGTTTCCCCCTCCTACAATGACACTTGGTCGCGAAGCGAAGCGTACCGTGTCCACGATATTGTGGTCTCAATGGCGGTAAAAGTACAGTACAAGAAAGTAAGCACCGCGCTTTTTGCGAGTTGTGCGGCAGATGTCGCCTCCAAAGAACGCCTTCCCCGTTCGGCGCGCCTACCATAGGCTCAAGGTGGTCATCGAAAAGATCTATCTTCTGATGCGTGCGGACCAATTGACTGCGCAAGGACAAAGCCTAGAAGGGTTTGATATTGGAACCCCGTGAGACGAAATACCACAACTAGCAAAGTATGGCTGTCTCTGTCGACTGAGCATCGAGGACATTGCCCTGATGTGCGAGTACGATGGGCTTGATATCATGAGACATTCTACTCCCTCCACTTTCTCGGCTGTCAATGAAGTCGTGTATCGAAGGGTATCCCATCTGCAATCCGGCGGGTCTCGATAGCTGATGAACAAAGCGAAGGGGAACAAAGCGAGCAAGCCGAATATGATAACGAGGCTTGGGATGATACCGGAGATCTCTCTACTGTACCCTAGTGGTAGCTTACTATTTCCCCCTTCGCGAACCAGTCAGCTGTTTACTGTTTTCTCGATGTACAGTACATCGACGAATGGGAATCAGATCGATAGAAATGGAGACTTGAAAATTGGAGCAAGCCACCCCACCCCCCAATCCTAGTCCTAAGTTCGTCAAAAGGGGCCATATGTTTAGGTCACGTAGCTTGCAAGGGATCCACCCCCGCAATCTCATGGACGATCCACAGCGAGCAAATAAGCCGAGTTTGGGCAGGTCATCCCGGTGGATGATGCTGTGAGCGCCGATAAGTTGACAATATGGTGTTCGACGGTTTGTGAGGTAGTTCGTCGGAGTTGGTGATTTGCCGAGGTAGAGACCTCTAGAGCAGTAATGAAGGATTGGGGGGGGGGGTAACCGCTGTATGTGACAATTGTGAAGAGGAAAGTCAAGGACAAGTCAAATCTCCCCGTCTATCTATCTTACTGAGCACAATAGCATGAACCCCGCTCAGTCCGGTCCGGCCCGGCAAGTCATTCATTCCGTAGTCCAATTTTTAGCGCTTATGCTTGCTTGCATCAATTAGACCTACAGCCCTAAAGAAGTTTGAACGAACTCAGGGGCTACTGCTGTACTATACAATTCCCCAGGGACACACAAGTGCTAGGTACAGTACACTAATGGTCTTGTCAAAGAAAAGTATAGCTTTATTCAAACGTAAACCTCATCAACTTCGTCATGATCAAATGCATGCATGCATGCATGCGTATGTGTATATTGGTACGCCTGCTTGAAACCCCCCCTCCCTCAAACCGAGTTGGAATTATCGGCACAGCTCCAAGCCCCAGACTCGGAGGAGTCAATGATGCCCACGATCGAGCTGTAGGTGCCCGCCACCATCAGGAACGTCCCGGACGCGATGACAAACCCGCTCCAGGCGACCATCAGGTACCACCGCGGGGTTCGGTCCTTGCGCCAATTGTCGTAGAGCCACATGCAGCCCATGGGCTGAAAGCAGGTCACCGTCCCCAGAAGAGCGCCGACGAGGGAGATCAGCGTGTTGAAGATGGGGATCCCGCTGGCGATGATATAGGCAACCATGGTGACGGTGAAGGTCGAGCCGAGCCAGGTGATCCAGTGTCTAGCGGTGTTGGCGGTCAGATGCCGGGTGCCGCGCAGACAGCGGACGAAAATGTGCTTGCTGGAGAGCTGTGGTGGGGGTTAGTTCGAGGTAATTTATTCGAGGCGGGTGGGTGGTACTGACATGGGCACAGAGAGTTCCGGAAACCAGCAAGCCCGGTAGCGCGATGCCATAGGAGATCTTCTTGATCAGTACACCAGCGGAGCCCAGAGCTGGTGAGGCGACGTAAGACCCGCAGTAATAGTAGACGACGATGCCGATGGTGATGTAGGTGATCGTGACGACACTTTGGCAGAGTAACAGTGACTTCGGGTAATGACGGGGCTCACTCATCTCGGCCACAATGGAGAAGAAAGCCGGGGTGCCCGCGTAGGCGAAGACTAGAGTGTTGATGGCAGAGATCGCGTCGGTGAAGCTGGGGCTGCCGACAATCTTGTAGTCGGATCGCCAGACTCCCTCTTGCGGTGCGGCAGCCGGACGGTCTTGGACTCCCACGGCGATGGTGACGATCAACACTGGCAGATCAGTTAGACGATTTCTGGGGTGTTGGTCGATTGCCGGACCCACCGGCGATAAGAATGCATGCTACACCAGCCCACGCCAGCCCAGTAATCCGACCTAGCGTCCGGATACTCGAGAGCAAGAACAGGATGATGGCGGCGACGGCGACGAAGACGGCCGTGCACGCGCCATGTGTGGAGAGCGCATTGAGCGCGATGGAGGTGCTGAGCATCGCGGAGCCCGAAGTAAATACATAGAGGAGGCAGAAGGCCCAGCCGAACAACTCGCGACCCCATCGACCGAACAAGAGCTGGCCGACATCGTCGACGCCGTAAACGTGGCGGTGCCGTAGCTTGAACACACCCACTATGTAGTCGGACCAGGTGGTAATTCCAGCTATCGTACAGAGGAGGATAACGCCGGGGACTATCCCAACGGTGTCAAAGACCGAGGGAATCGAAAGAACTCCAAGACCCATCTGAGTCTTCATCATGAGAATCGAGGTTCCAAGCCATCCAACCTGGGATAATGTCAGTAGACCCCGGATTCGTGGCTTAGGGGCTATACTCACATTCCTGTAGTTTGGTCCGTCTTCTGATATCACACCGAAGACTGCATCATGTGCAATGGCGTTTTCATCCTCCACCTCGCCGATCGCTGGCTCGAGGTCGCTGCCGGGTTCATCTTTGGTCGTGGATGGTGGCTTGGACATGTCGGGTGTTTGGTGTTTGGTAGAAGAGACCGCTAGATCGACAGCGGGTCTTAATCTAAAGAACGGAACAATAAGTCTGAGTTCTGAAAGTTCAAGCTACAACGCGAAGAAGGATATTTTGGGAGAGGAAAAGATGAGTCGAAGTGAGATGACTCCGTAGAGCGGAGCCTTGGGGGGAAGGGCACATCCAAGAACCTTAAACTAAACCAGTTTCCATCTAGTAACGCTCTTGTCTACGGTTTTACATATAAAACGCAGACTTTAGTATACTTGGGGGTTTCCAATTAAAGATAAGCTTCATGCTTTAGTGTTGGGGTACAGACCCACCTACGACGACTTCGGCTTGCCTTGAGACGATATAAGTTGAAGTTACTCCGTACTGTGTGTCCATATTGCGCATACTGTAGTAACAGTAGTACGACGCAACGTGAGGCTTTCTCTTCCTACCACGTGAAGCTGGACTGTTGACAAGCAAGCCATTGGTACCCTGATCAAGGCATTATCACCCATACTGAAGATCTTATCTGACTTTTCATAATGGCATCTCCACCGTAACAGGCAGGCTTCGACGACACTTCCCGATCCCGCCAAGATCTACATCACCATTCTTGCATTGGGTTGACAGTACGTCTTTTGTCAGGCCTGAGATATTGACAAGCTGGGTAAATCGGCATTGGAAGTGTGATGTCAACCAGCAACCGCAGACTCCGTCGCTCTTGCCATGACATGACATGACAGCCGCGCTGCAGGACGATCATCAAGCCTCATCTGAGTTAATCTATAGGTATAAGGGCTCGACCGATGGCAACGACACACGAAAGCTTGGACGAAGTATGTACCACCCACAGGTGGCCTTGTGCAGGCGCAACTGTAACTACTACAGCAGAGCAGATGAGGTGGTCATGCGACCTCCGATCTCGGATGCAGACGAGCCTAAACCTATCCTGGCTGTCCGCTTTTGCCTCAGGCACCAGCTTGATGCACTTGATGTTCCCCCAAGCACACCCGCCGGGCGGTACATCACGTGCTGGCCGATGGGCCAATCACCACGGCGGCAGGCGATAAGCGAGCCCGCACTGGAATTCCCACCAGCGAAAAACCGACCATCTCGAAATCTCCTCCATCCTTGACCGTCGACGACCACTACAGCCCACGACAGCCGACATCTCTGTCCCTATTCAGTGAGTTTTTGTCGCCAACGCCTGCGCCTCGCCCGTCTTCCGTGCGTCTGTTTCGCAAACTAATCACATTTTCTTCGTTTTCTTCCTCGCAGAAATGTCCAGCACCGTCAACAAGACCGGCAAGAAGACCCGCTCGGCCATCGCCGATGTGGTGTCCCGCGAGTACACCATCAACATGCACAAGAGAGTACGTTGAAATACACACAAAGACACACTGCGATCCAGCTTTTCCGACAGAAGAAACTTCGGTTTCTCTTATCCCCCCCCCCTCTTTTCCCTCAAGCGACATGCGAAACGGATCCCAACCGCAAATCATTGTCGGAGGTCATGGACGGAGAACAAGAAGACACAACCCACGATGGATGAAAACCACGAAGCGGCGCACAAAAATCAAAACTCTCAAAACCTTTGGCATCTGAAAAGAAACGGGGGCAAACGAGAAGAAAGAAGCAGCCCAAGGGTTTTCTATCAACCATCATCGTTGTTTGTCCGAAATTATGTGTGGAGGAACAACCTCGGGGGTTCCATTGCCAGAAAACGAGTCATGATATAACAATCATCGGCTTCGTTTCTGGGTCACCACACGCATCTCCAAAAAGAAGAATTAGTTTTATGAAGTCCACCTCAAGGCCGAATTTGCTCGCAAAGCATTTTCTCCCACATCATTTTTCCCCATTCCCACAAAACAACAAAAAAGATGGCATTCGGGCGGAAGACTAATATCTCTTCTTTTTGGGTACGATTAGATGCACGGTGTTAGCTTCAAGAAGCGTGCTCCCCGCGCTATCAAGGAGATCCGCGCCTTCGCTGAGCGTGCTATGGTGAGTTCTCCCTCTTCCTTGTCGCCGTACAAAATCCTTTCTCCATTCGAGATGGATCTTGTACGGTCAGCCTTCTCGGACAAGACTAACCCCCCCGGAACACAGGGCACCACCGACGTCCGCGTCGACCCCCAGCTCAACAAGAAGGTCTGGGAGGCCGGCATCAAGGGCGTCCCCTTCCGTCTCCGTGTCCGCATCTCCCGCAAGCGTAACGACGAGGAGGGCGCCAAGGAGAAGCTCTACTCCTACGTCCAGGCCGTCAACGTCAAGGAGGCCAAGGGTCTCCACACCGTCGTTGTTGATGACGAGTAAATTTTTTCAGACTCGCTTCATCAATAAAAGACAGTGCTTGATTCCCCCCTTAACAAAAAAAACGGTCCTCATTGTATGAAACCAAAATTTCTATCTCTAGAATAATGAATGGGACAATATGATGTCGGGTGGTTTGCTGGAACCAATTTTCTCTTTTTTTTCTGCCTTCTTTCTTGTAGTGTGGATGAGATCGTCGCCCACCTGAAACCCAGGCAGATGTTTCTGTCGTTGGAGTTGAAGGTGGTATCACTCGTGGTGCTCATGCCAGCTAAGTCCGCGAAGAGCTTGTATCTAGCCTCTTATGTATCTGGCATCGAAGATACAGGCATCCCAAAGCAAGACCCCCTTAGGTACTACGCTCTTCCCTTCCCGTCGCTACATGCTCCACCACTCTTAATGCCATATACACGGAATGAATTACCATTGGTATTCCCATAATATTCCATCCTAAGCACAAAATGCACCAGGCATAACCACAAACCCCCAAGGATAAATCACACTGCACTGCCTGCGCTGCGTGTATTAAGTGCGAAGCAAATCTGCATGCAACACAAGAAGTTCACAAAGAAATCAAAGTCTTCTTTCCTCTAATAATACAACGACGATCTCAACGGGTCATGGGAAAAACACGATGGAGAGAAAAAGAGAAGATCAAAAAAAGCAGATCGATCTCCTTATGAACAGAAAACAAGATCCCGTTTTCAAGAATGGAATGGCACGGCAGGTTTGAAAAAAAGAGGATTTCTTGCCTTGCAAATCCACAGAGACACTCGCTATGCTAGAATGCGCCTGCTCCCTCCTGATTGGACAGACAAAGACAAGAAAAAGACACAACAAAGAACGCTATTCCCGATGATGCAGTTGCGGTCAACTCGAGAGATGCAGATGGGGGGGGGGTGGGGGGGGGGGGGAAAGAATTTTGTAAATACAAATTTGCCTTGAAGCCATGGGGACGAGGCAAGAAGATGTTTCCCTCTCATCGAAGACAAGAAAGCATGGACAAGAAACGGTGAAGAGGAGGAAAAGTAGATATCGAAGAAGCAAGACTCAGTATCCGTGGAATGGATACGGATCACGAAAAAAGATCACAGTAAGGCGGCTGAAAGTATGGAAGATCAGATAAACACCGCCAAGAACCCCTGTTCAACTCAAATGACTTTCGAAACTAACCCTCTCTTTCGTTCGTAAGTCGCAGTGATCAAAGCAATGTTTTTTTTTTGGAGTGCGGCAACCAGGCATCCATCTTGATTCAGATAGACCAGAGTCGAACCTGTGTTGCTCAAGATTCGCTTGGATTCGCTTGTTACAAGGGGGGGAATGCCTTGAACGCTTGGGCAAAGAGAAAGAGTTTCAAAAACAAACCAAAGTACATTCGCTCGCACCTTACGCCGCCGGCCCGATCATGAAAAGTGTGTCCAAGTACGTTTGTGTGGACACAATTCGTTAGTAGTGCTCCAATGCAAAACTAAGATTTAGTCTCCTCCATCGCCTTGCTGAGACGTTCTGCATCGTCCTTCGTCTTAACCCGTAGGGCCCACAAGACCGGCGGTCCTTCGGCTTGGGGGACCATAAATTGGACACTGTTGCCGGATGCTTTGTATGAGATAGCGTCGACAAGGTATGTGTTGAGTACAACATTTCCGCTCGGGTCGGCTCTGACAAGAATGCGACCTCGGGAGGTGGTCCGATGCTTCAAGACGCGGATGAATCCAACACCCTGACTCTCCCAGGAGCTATCGGCTTTGTTATGCTTCATTGCGCGAGCTCGGTTCTCCAGAACAACATCTTCGTCCTCTTCTCCGGCTCCAGTGCGGAGATCGGCCTGGGGTAGGTTTTCCGCTGCATCTCCATCACCGGACTCTTCCGCTCCAGTGTCGGAAGCGACACCAGGGGTGGACTGGCGGCTAGTCGTAGCCGACCCAAGAGCTGACGAACCTAGCACGGAGGGCGCCTGGAGGGACGGATTCCCAAAAGAAAAGCCAGTCGAAGGTTGTGTACTGCCAGACCCAGCCTTGTTCAAAGATGACGGGGCACCGAAGAGAGAAGAAAATGGTTTAGGGGCTTCAGATGCCGCCGGGGTTGCAGATCCCGAAGCAGAAGGGCTTGCTGCGAACTTGATAGGAGAGTCAGGTTTCCAGGTATTGTCTCCAGACGGCTTCGAAAAGATGGATGGAGTTGCGCCGCCTGGGCTAGAGCCAGCAGAACTAAAAATGCTGGATCCGGTATTTGCGGATCCGAAAAGATTGCTTGTCGCAGGCTTGAGTGCAGACTTCTCGGAGTCAGATGTGCCACTTTGTGTGGACGAAACTGGCGTGTTGAGGGATGAGGAGAATTTTGAGGAGCCAAATAGTGTAGAAACAGGGTTCTTCTGTTCTTCATCGGCTTGACGCTTAGGTTCGGAGACACGGTCGAATAAGCTTCGGCTACCCGATGCTGCATCCGTACCGCTGGTCGGCTTCGACTTCTGAAGGGCCTTCGCAAAGTCACCGTCCTCGCTGCTGAGTGCAGGAGAATCTGCGGCGTTAGAGGCAAAGTCACTGGTCGAAGTCTTCGCCGCGTCCTCCTGATCATCCCCTACGTCTGATGCCGCTTCTGTGTTATTGTCCTCGTCATCGACATTGTCATCGGCTTCAGAGGGAGTAGCTGACAGATGTCCAAAGATGTTGCTGGACTTAAGTGCAGACTTTTCTTGGTTGTCAAAGACAGAAGCACCAGAGGTAGCTGCAACAGCACCTTCTCCGGTCTTCTCGGGCTCATTAGCCTCGTCCTCGAAAACAAATCCTTTGCCAGGGACAAATTTAGCATGCTTCTTGCCTCGAGCGGCATGCTCTTCTTGTTTCTTGCGCTGTTGTTCAGCATCTTTGCGCTCCCACTCAGCTTCATCCTCCTCGTCGGAATCGAAGTCCTCTGCTTTGCGCTTAGCCTTCTCTTTCTCGGCATCCTTCTCAGACTGGGCCTTGAATTGGGCGAAAAAGTTACCGCCAGCTGGGGCACTGAACTTGGGGGGAGCGGGCATGGAGCTTGTAGAGGTTCCATTTTCCTGGTTGCCCAGAGGCTTGAGGACAAAGGGATTCTTTGGTGCGGTTCCGCTGGACGCACTGGATGTTGTTGCCGCACTTGACATTGAGGATGAGAATAGCGAGGTAGAGGTCGAACCTTGCGTGATTGAACTCGAAAATGACAGTTGTGGCTTGGCTGGCTCCGTCGCCGGTGTCGAAGAGAACAACGCAGGCTTGGCTGTTGGAGTGGATGGTTTCGAAGGGGTTTCCTTGTGGATTGACCCATCGTCGGACTCAGTGGTCTTCGATTTGGAAAATGACTGTGCGAAGATGTTGGCAGTGGTCGAATCGCCGTTGACACGTTTAGGGGTGCCATTAACTTCGCCATCGTCAATCGATCTTCTTTTTTTGCTGCTGGGAGACACATCCTGAGCTGTCCCAAATGTATTCCCAACACTGGGTGTAGCAGCTTTGTTGGGAATATCTGCATCGATGGGAGTACCGGATTTCACCTTCTTGGATACAACGCCATTGGGAAGATCGTCTGCGGCCTTGCGCTTAGTGGCAACAGGCATTCCAATGGTATCACGAACCCGCAGATAGAACTGCAGGATTGCATCAAAGTCCTTGCCAGATGGGTCGGCATTGGCCACCTCGCGCTTGAAGCATTCATTCAACGTACGAAGACGATGAACCGTTTCGACGTCAGCCTTGACGTCGTTATCCACAGCTCCTGCAACCTTGGGAGATCCCAGATCCTTAAAGTTGGAGGGCTTGGACAACTGACTGCCTGTAGCTGGCGCGGCTGGCTTCTCTCCGTTGACCTTGAACAGACTTTGAGGTGCCGCGGCGGGAGTTGGGGCTGCCGGCTTCGGAGTGAAGATACTAGGATTAGAGGGCGAGGTAGCTGCGGCAGGAGATGAGAAAAGCGCCGGGGGATTGGCTGGCTTCTCGGCTTGACTGGATTTAGGTGTCTCGGTGGGCTTGGGGGAGAATATATTGCCAAAGGGGTTTGCGGGTGCTGGCTTTTGCTCAGGCACCGGCTCGTTCGAGGTCGCAGGCTTCGGTGCATTGAACAGATTACCGAAAGGATTTGATACTGCCGCCTTTGGCTTTTCTTGGTCTGAAGATGCTGTCGTCTTCGGCGCGAAAAGGTTTCCGGTTGATGAGGGTTGAGAAGATTCAGTCGAAGAAGCCGGAGCTGGGGAGCTGGCGCCAGCACTCGAAAACAATGAGGGCGCCGTAGTCGTCGACGAATTGAATTGAAACGGGTTCTTCGGTTTATCTGCAGGTTTCGGCTCCTGATCCTTCTTCTCTTCGGATGGCTTCTGTGTGCTGGAAGGTGCACCTGAGAAAAGGTTTGAAGACTGGAAAGGGTTTTGGAAGGGAGTTGCCGGACTAGCTGAAGGCGCAGCGCCGAACAGGCCAGAGAACGGAGGGTTCGTAGCAGCAGGCGCTGGTGCTGGCTTCGAAGCTGTAGAAGCGGCCGTGGTTTGAGTGGGAGTGGCGCCAAAAATAGGGGCAGAAGCAGGAGTCTGCTCGGTCGGCTTGGCTCCAAACAAAAACTTCGCTGGGGATTCGCTAGACGACGTCGATGCGCCAGTGAAAGCGCCGCCAAAAAGTGGCTTGCTGTCGTTCTTGGTGCTGTCGTCCTTGGAGGGAGCCGGCGAGCTAGACGTTGAACCCACAGTTGAACTAGGGAAAGATGACTTCTGGCTGGTGACTGATTTAGCGTCTGGAGAGGTATGCATTGAGTCCGATCCTCCAAATGAATTCGGCTGGCCAAAGATGGAGGGCTTGGCTGCACTGGATTGGCCAAATATGCCATTGGAAGGTGCAGAAGCGGTAGTGCTCTGACCGAAAATATTGGTTGTGGTAGGGGTTGCAGTTCCGTTTTGCGTAGAGGAACCAGCACTGTTGCTTGCGCCGAAAAGACCTCCGGTGTTACTCTGTGCGCCACCGGCTCCGAAAAGTGAGCCAGAAGGCAAGGGTTGCTGTTGCTGAGCGGCAGACTGGTTGCCAGCTGGAGGAGCGCTAAAGATAGAGCCTGGGAACCCTGAGAAACCTCCTGACTGCTGAGACGGCTGCTGAGATGGCTGCTGACTATTACTGGCGGTGTTCATGCTTGCGAAAGGATTGTTTGCTTGAGGGCCACCGAATGATGATGAGAAGCTGAAAGAAGACGGCGCTGCACTACTTGTGGTGCTTGCACCAAAAGAGAAGGGGGTCGAACCACTTTGCGTGGACTGGCTAGGCGTCGAGTTCGCACCCGGAAAACTTTGGTTCTGTCCAAATGTGAATCCCGTAGATGGGGGTTGCGAGCTCGCCATTGGGGAGGATGCTGTGTTGGAGTCGATGGAATTGAAGGCGCCACCAAACGTCGGGGCAGGTGCACTCGCGTTGCCTGCGGGTGTTTGGCGTCTAGAGCGCATGGGTCGAATTCTGAGAAGCGTGTCAGTCAAGGTTTACGTCTGTCAAAAACGTGTAAAGGACGATATGTGACGAATATGAGAGGAAGAATGGCAGTGAAACATGAGATCAAGAGATGGGACGATGGGGGAGTAGGAGGGAAAAAAGAAAACACGCAAGGGAGGAAGAACACAAGGTTAATTCGACGTGTTACTCCGTCGCAGGGCACGTCGAGGCTGCAGGGAGAAATAAAATTCATGCATGAGAGGCTCCGCAAAGGTCGGTCTACAATCACTTACTTTCTGGCCGCCAGCTGCGCGGCAGTTGCCCGCTGTGGCTTTTCTTCCGGTGTGTTGTTCATGTTGAAATCGGCCATTCGATCATCAGAGCTACCCCCTTGGCCACCCTGGGCGCTTCTTTTAGACATGTATTATCCAACTATTGCGACGTCTTCAGCTGCGATGTGAACAAAGCAGCGTTCAATGGAGCCTCTCCTTAAAAGGCTGGCTCTTATGCACGATTGACGGCAATTTCCGAGCGCGCGGTGTCTTCTGAAACTGAAAGCTTTCTCTAATCCAGCGCCGACTATTTCCGAGTGCGTTAAGCTCGAAAGGTCGGGGAGTACACCTGCAATCGTTCTGTGCGCGACACAGCGGGTGGAGTGCACACGAGGGTTAAGAGGGTTGGTATGGGTGGTTGACTCTGTTAGAGATTCGGCGAACGCGGCAATCTCGGGCAATCGCGTAGTGACTACTTCAATCACTGCTTACGAATTCCTCGAAGTACCGACGAAGGCCGGCTAAAATAATGTGAGGGAGCAGGTCGCACGCTCGTTCTTGTTCCGTATCCGGGGTGATGAGGAGCGCAGCGCGCGAAGACAAGCGAGGGGAGAAGACGGGGGAACGAGACGGATGCGAAGAGACTAGAGGCAGAGCAACAGGCCTCGCAGACTGAGTATAGGAAATCGATGAAAGGCGCCTCCGTTTCGATGTGCTCTGCCTGCGGGAGGGGATGGAGTTGTGGTTTTTTTAGCCTTTACTTTGCGGGCTCGCGACTCTTGCGGGCAGGAAGGAAGACGCTGGCAGAAAAAATTACTGTCACGTGAGCACACGCAAGGCAACATCAGAGGAGCATGACATAATAACAAGCAAGAGGTCTCTCCAGTAGTTGAATATTTGCACGTTGCGACCGTTGCTAGGCTGTAGAAGGCTAATATTGTCGATGTACACAAGCTCCCCTGGTGCCTTGCAACTAAAATGAATCTACTTAGGGACCATTTACTAGGTTATTCATGTTCACTGAGGGAAGCCAGAAAGAGTTTCTTTGATCACCTTGTCCTTGTTCTTGTTCTCCCCAGTCCGTGTGTCATCCGCTCCCGGTAAACTTAACTAGTTAACTAGGTCATGTATTGTTACGTCCCCATTACCCTGCAAGAGCAGAGCGGCAGGAAGGCATGTAAGATTACGGGGTCATGCACCACATCCTCCCTCCTTGTTTCCATGGCAAGAACATGAACAATGCAGTGCAGCTGACAGCCAAGTGGCACGTCTCCTTCCTCACCTCGGAATACTAGCAGGAGGAGATGTCTCGCTTTTTGGTTCCAGGTGCTTCCCCTTCATGTCTGACATAAATGGTTGTCTTACACCCTTTTTTCCAGATGCTGCGCACAAAAAGAAATTGTATATATTCGACCCATGTAGGCAGCGCTACCTGCTCCGCGGACGGTATACTGGCAACATCATAAGCAATCATCTCAACTATATCCATAGCCCCCGACCGTCGGACGTACATGGTGCATGAGTCTTTTCCCGTTTAGACAAGGGGATTGCCGATTTCACTATCCCTGTCTGCCTCCGATGTTGAGACACCATATCCAGAACATACTCTACAGTAGAATCCCGGCCCTTCATTCAAGAAGGGATAACGGGCTGTCGCGCTCACCATATCAGTTATCCTGAGTATGCAAGTCTTTCTAGATTCTTAAGTTGACCTATCAATCTCTGTTGGAAATAGCTATACAGGAAGGGCAGAGAACGCGCGTGAGACGAAAAACTGATCCAGAAATCCAAAAGGGTATCTATAGCTTGGCCTTGCTCTGGGCCTTCTTCAATACAGGCTCCATCTTGGTCGCCTTCATGATGTTGCCCTTGATCTTGAGCTTACCACCCATGAATAAGCGCTGAGCGTTGGCCTTACCGCTAACAAGGGAGCTGAAGTCCTCATCAGAAAGCGAGAGAGTGACTATCGCCATCAGATTAGAATCCCGACAGCATTCGGTGGTACAGACCCTGAGACCAGCGAGGTACTTACCGTCAGCCTTTCCACCCTGGGGGGCGGCCCCCTTTCCCACGACACCCTTGTCCTTGAGATCTAGGTACCAGCTCTCCTCTTTACCCTCGGAGTTTTTGAGGTTGAAGGAAACCACGGCCTTGGCCTTCTCAATGGCGTCTTTGCGCTCGCCGGCGTCCGACTGCAGGGCAGCGTTGATCACGTCGAATGCGGCGGAGGAGGGAAAAGCGTCTGCAAAAGCGTCATTCGCGTTAGCTACGACAAGACAGAAATATAATGTTCGTTGCTGGGATCTGAAACCGGCGTACCGTTCTTGAGACTCATGTTGGCGGTTGATAACAGAGGTGGGAGTTATTTCCTTGAGGAATGCCAAAGGGTACTGAAAGGACCGTAGAATTATCGAAGGAGGATCGGAAAGTTCAAAGAACTCAGTGATGAGGATCAAAGGGTGTATTAATAAAGTCCGACCCGGGGATTCAGAATTCAGGATTGCAGGATTCAGGCGAGCTACCCCGGAGTATTCGGCGGACGGCGCATGTGAAATAATGGAGGCGGTCGCGGGGGACCGGCGGTGGGCCGAGGCTGGAGAATCCTGTGATTCTTCCGTCACCTGCACCTTCATTACACCGCAGCAGTACAGCAGTCAGTAGTGTTTCGTTACTGATGGAACCTTACTCTGACTATCCTATTTTTCAGGTGGTGCAGGTCGGGTAATGTTTCCTCAGCATTATCCAATTCTTACTCCTTTAGTCAAGCATCGATACTAAAAGTATCTCACGCAGTATAAGGTAAATGGCATCTTTGTTCTCATTCTGTATGACGATGTCAGGTTTCATCGGGTAGCTACACATGGCAGTGTACTATGCTAACTACATCACTACTGTACTGTACACCGCAAGGAGTTGTTAGAGCACGCTTATCAACCAAGGCATAGATGATTAGCAGCTGTAGGCCTGTAGGCCTTCATCACTGTCTTAAACTCTGGTCGTTGCGACGAGGACTTGCCCCGCGACAAAGATTTTGCATTGAAGATATACTACTAAGACTATGTGTATACGTGCATATGTGCTTAAATCGATCTTCAACCTCCGCTCACTGTTACTTCAAATCGATATGGTTAAACATCATTTTGTGACTTGCTGAATTATGCTTCGTTCTGGATCACAGTTCCTCTTTACAAGACATCTGGGGCCAGCCCACATCCCAAGAAGCGGACATTGTCCCCGTACAAGAATACAAAAATACAAGACCAAGACAACAATTTTCTAAGGTGACAGACAGAGATGGTACCCAAGTGCTTTTCCTCACTTTATCGATGGCACATTTTTTGAACACTTCTTGCACAGCTTCGTTTCCTCTCACAAGAGTCAGCACCATCCTCACTCCAAAAACCGGATAAAACATGTCATTTTCTAGAGAACAGGGAGCTTACACAGGCTCAAGCCTCACACGGACTTCAAACAACGGCGTCCTTCTTGCGACGCACAGTGAGCTTGGTGGTCACTGGCGGAAGCTGGAATCGCCCCCATCCTAGCGAGGTCTTGTCAGCACCATGTGGCCATGAATATGATATGAAATCCTACTTACTGTGGATCTTGGGGCGTGTCTGCATGGGCCGGATGTCATATTTGAGCAGCATCTCGGCCGTCAGAACTTTGAAGATGTGGGCAAAGATCCAGCGTCCAGGACACTGGCGACGACCATGTCCGAAGACCACATAGGTATCGCTGGTTGCAGTGATCAAATCGTTGCGTCTCTCCTCGGTTGGGATGTGGGGTACATAGAAGCGGAAAGGGTTGTACTGATCTGGGGAGGGGTAGAGATCATTGTCGCGGTGCAGCGCGTACTGCGGGATGCCGACCTTAGTCCCAAATGGGAGGTGAATTCCGTTACCAAGTTCGACGCCATTGGGAGCCACGACCTGGTGAATGCCAAGGTGATGGTTAGTGTTGCCAAATCGATCAGTGAAGGGGGGCACGAGCAACACAGAATTATGAAGTGGCAAATGCTTACCTTTCGAGTAGGAGAGACGGCATTGATACCATTCAGACGAAGACTTTCCTTCACAGCACTCTCAAGCCGAGCAGCCTTTTTAAGATCTTCAGCAGTCCAAGAACCGTCCGAGGAGATGGAATGCATTTCGTCACGAAGGAGGCCAATCAGGTTCTCATCGGAATAACTGAGAATATCCAGAAGGACGCTGGTCGCTGAGACGCCACTGGTGTGCACACCAGGGAAGTTGATCATGAAAATACGATACGCTAGCCACATGGTAGTGAGCTCCATGGGCCATTTGCTTCGCATACCGGACTGGATGAGCAGGTCCAACAGGGATCCCTGGATTATGTCAGGAGATGGAAACCAAAGACACACGGTGGGCATCTTACTTTCTTCTTGAGAGTCTGCTTCAGAACCTCGGGGTTAGAAGCCTCCTTCTGGTCCTGAATCTTCTTCTCGATAATGGGCTTCAGACGAGCATGGAACACTCTCTCATAGTATCGGTTGACCAGTCCGACGAGAGGACCGACGACTCTTTTGAAGGAGTTAGGACTTCTGCGAAGACATGCAATGGTGGGATAGGGCACACTTACGGATGGAGGAAAGCTGGAAAGGCTTTAATGACATTCGCACCGAAGACGATAGCATTCGAGCAGTGTGTCAGGGCCGCCAGAAGAGCCTTGTCACCACTGTTGCCAGGTCCAATTGCGAGCACATTGATCATTCGGCCGGCAGTCTTTTCCATGAACGAATACAGAGGAACTTGCACCCAATTCTCGGTGTCTTCGCCCCAGTGCTCGGACAGACAGGCACGAGCCTCCTCAGCCAGAGACGCGGCAACAGACGGGGTCTTCAGGGTCTCAGATAGATCCTTGCTGATAAGTTTGACATAGAAGTCGTACTTCTCGGCGAAGGCAAGGGGCCAACTTGTGTATTTGAGCTGAAAGAAGTCCAGGATATGGGCCTTAAAACTGAACTCGGTCTCCTTGGCAAAGAGAATGGTGTTTGATTCCTTGATGGGAAGCAAGACCTCGTCACCCTCGTTCACGCTAGGCATCACAAATGGTTTGTTGT